AAAAATAATAGTAATAAATCATTAATTTTCAAAAATCATTAAGATTTTGAAATTACATATCATATTTTACATAATTAATTTTGAAACTCGGAAATCTATCTATATATATATATTATAAGCGTACAATTAAAATAAACAATTTTCAACGTGGGTTAAATTTAACTTTTGATTTATTGCATTAAATATTAAAAAAATGGTTCTAAAAAATATATAGTTCGTTTACTTGGGAATAAAACAGTAAATATTTCTAATAATATTAAATAAGAAAATCAGTCATTTCAAACATTATGTTATTTGAATAATTTAAACATATTATTCTTATATTTATATACAATTGAACATAAATATTTTTAAATTATTATTTTTTGCATTATAATAATAAAAAATTCAAGTTTAATAGTGAAGCATGCTTAATTTTATATAATACACATTACATAAGCCCTAGTCAAATAAAAAATAAATCGCTAAAATATTAATTTTTTATAAATAATTAAAACTATAATATTTTGAAAAATAAATTGAAACTTATTAGCCAACTATACCTAACTTAAGTAGCGTGCCTACTAGACCAGTCACAAACATATAAAAACTATACAAACTTCTAAAGATCCCTTGTCATAACGAGCAGATTTTTGGGAATATGCATTATGAGAGAAGGATTTTGAGAAATTTTAAAAAGTTAATAGGGTGAAATTGTTTAAAATACAAAATATGTATAATATTATATAATATATTAAGGTCTACGTGTACATACATTTATGGACAACGCGTGCCATGTCACATCTCGTCCGTCGACGTAATGATAGACATTTCCGGGTCGGCCATTATACCATACATCATTAAAATATTATATGGTGGATGATAAATGATAATAATATGTACAACAATTCAGGACGGATGGTTTACGTTATTATATTAACCTGTGGTTAAGATAATATTATGTGGGAATTTATATTGTGAGTCTGGATCAGAGCAATACTTGTAACATACTGCAGTCGTTGTAAACATGAAATACTCGAAAAGTACGGAACTTTAATCACGCACCGGTAGGTATACTCGTATATGTATAACTTAATAAACAACATATAATAATTCTATATTATTATAGTAGGAAGACGTTTCACTGATGTACTTAAAATAGTTTAGCATAGACATCTTAAAATACAATTCATTAAAATATATTTATATATCATTTCAAAGTTTACTACAGCAAGTAGTTCAGCGTATCATTATAGTGTTATTAATTGATATGCAATTACGAGATCATATTGGAAATTTCTCATACGTTGACACACATTGGTTATAACTTATAACTACTTCCAGTGAAATTTTAGAGTCAAAACACTATTGTGGTAAACCCGATGCGCGCAATTAATTAATACATTATTAAAATATATCACTTTTAGTATAATACGGTGTACGTGTTAAAACCGATATCAAAAGTCGAACAATGTTATTTCCACTTCAGCGAAAATTCGACATTGGAATTTCATAAAATTCGAATAATAGGCCAAAAGGCCAGATTATTAAGTACAACACGTGGTCATACGTCATAGCTAGAAGCCGTATATATATTTTAATTTTTTTAATAGGATTAGAGTTCTTAGTGTACCTTAAAATATAATACATTACTATACTGGCTATTATCTCATCTTGTAAGACTATTACTTGTCGTGGACTTTGTCACAGCCACATTGTTGTGAGTACATAATTATTATTAGTCGTAGTAGAGTTAAAGTTTATTTTATTTTTAATAAATTATATTATTAAATAAATTTTTGATAAATTATATTAAATAAATTGTCTAATTTATCATCAGATAAAATTAGAAGTGTTCTGTTTGTTCACCTACACACGCAACAAACGCAAATCGAATGTGCTACGTTGCTTAAATAATTATTATGGTAACCGATCGCAGTGTCCTGCACAGCGATAATTACACTATTGTTATAAACAGGGCTGTGAATTTATAGGAAAGTGCATTTTTTTTTGATGATTGTAAAGCATAGCTTTGTAAGTACATAATTCGAATTATGTAATTACGAATCCATCTATGAAACTTTTATTTTGCATATTTTTGCATTTTTTGACGTTTTTAATTTTTTAGGTCATTTTTTCGCATTTTTAGATCATATTTCGCATTTTTAGGTCATATTTCGCATTTTTAGGTCATATTTTGCTTTTTTTAGTACATTTTCTAGTATTTTCAACCAAATTCTGTCAATTAACTTGTTTGAAAACTTTTTTATTTTACACAGGCTGTATATATTATGTCAATTTTTTTAACTTTTTTATTAAATAAACACTTTTTTGTACTAATATTTAATATTCTGTACTTAATATTAATATAAATATAAAAATTAAATTAAAACCATTTTAAATGAATTTTATACTATAGTTTTTGGCATTTTATATTCCTTTTTTTGCATTTTAAATGCATATTTTGAATTTTAAGTGCATATTTTGCATTTTAAGTTATAAAAATAAAAATTGCAAATAATATTTTGTAGGTTATCTAACATAGGTTTTTCGTCGTAAAGAGAAATATTTAATTTTTTTAGTTCATATATTAATATATTTTTTATTTTTTTTTTGTATTTATTCGTGATTATAGATTTTTATTAGAATTCTATTTTTGTAAAATAATATTTGAAAGCTTTATTGAATGAGACAATATAGTTGCTCTTAAAACATATCTGCAGGTTCAATTAATAAATGTATTCATTTTTAGGAATGTAAATATTTTTAAATTTGTTTTTATTTCAAGAAATATTTGAGGATCTTGTTGTTTATTTGACCATATTATTTTGTTGTGATTTGTCTTATTTTAGTTTTTATCAAAAATATTTTTTATTTGTTAAGTATATTTTTCATATGATTACATTAAAAAAATGTATATAAGTGAAAATTGATCGACAAATTTTTAAGTATTTGTGATTAGTTATGAGTTATGACTTATAGCCATGATAGTATGTGGTGCGAATATCTTAGATATAAGAGTACAAAATAGATTTACTTTTTATAAATCGGAAGTAGCCAAAGAACTATTTAGTCTGATTAATAAAGGAACTTTTTCTTTTATTTTAGATCAACTTGAGGTGATTTTTTATACTGAATAGTTATTTAACAGAGAGATAACGAAGTTTGAAATCTAAAGTAATATTAACTTTTTTAAGAATTAGATTTTTAATATGAATTTGATTGTTTATTTGAATTGTCAGTTTTATATAGCTCTTTAATCCTTATTTTTATATTTAGGAAAGAGTTGATATGAATAATTTCATAGTAGTTTTTTTTTTTTTGGTAAGTAAGTTCAAAAGAAATTGCGAGTTCATTTTTATAGTTTTGTTTAGAACATTATTAATATAAGTAGGTCTCTGAATATCCCCATTTCTCTCAATTGTAATGCTATATTTCTATTATTAGAGTTTATGAATGAAGATTACGACTAAAGTCAAAGTTTCCAGTTAGGATTTTTAAATTATTTGCTGTTGATTTGATGGATGACAGCACTTTTAAACAAGATTTTTGTTGGTTTTGATCCGTTTTATATAAAGATTTTTTTGACATTTTTATGCAGTGTATCTGGAGATTTAAATAGCGGTTTATTTGTTTATTCTGATGGGTTAGTTGATTCTAAAGCAATATTACGTTTAGATTTGAGTGGGATTATTTGAAATTCAGAATCGCTTTTGACATGCTTTGTAAACGTTTGTTTTTTTACGTTGTTTTTTTTTATATATTATTTATATTATAATTTTATTAACCACATAACAAACGTATCTATAGCGATAAAGGATCGTCATCGCTGCTTAAAATTACTTTGAATTAAGATTTTAAATTTTAAATTTTCTTAAATTATTTTGTTAAAATTTCCCATATTATACAATTTAAAAAATCGTCAGTAATACATTTGTTACATAATGTTTGTAGATAAATAAAAATACAGCGTATCTGATTCTATAATAATATATTTATACGTATATAAAAACCAAACCAGAGAATCCTGGAGATCAGCGTCAGCGAGACGCATTATGCATATATCATTCCAGCCCAGGTAACTGCATAACGTCATCCCTGAATCCCGAGTGGATTAAAAAAAAATAACTTGGCCGGGCCATAGGATATTTCCGTCGTTCGAGATTCATCAATTTCAATTTAAGTTATTTTGTTTTTTTTTTTTTTATTATTATCGAACGCATATTATAAGTCATAAAAGCTAATATAAAAGTAATGAGTGACGGTTTAAGGTTTAAAAAATACTGAACGCCTATTGCAGCATACCAAGCACATGCTCACGGAAAATTTCGTAGTTATCGGAACTAAAACTCATCTCTATCTCGACCAATAAACTGCGGTTCCGCACGTGCGACGAAAATGCATAATTATAATATTATAATTTTATGACTCATGTCTAAACCCCATGGTTTGATGATTATAAATGGTGTTTCAAATTTTGGGTCATTATTAAATTATCGTTATAATAATTGTGCTCGGTATCCCATCGTTTCCGACGATATACTGTCATCTTTAATATTTGAATTTACAGGTAAAATTAACTATTCTATCGCAAAAAAATATTTAAATGATGCACTATACCATTGTACTATACTCGATAAAAACATGTAAGTGAATACACATTTTATTATAGTTATACGATTACATTTTTCTTTTCAATGTAAAAATATAAATTTTAATATTTATTATTACTGAAAACACCTTTTTTTTTTTTTTACTTAATACATTTTAAACACGTTTTTTTCTTTTGTTTTAGTAGATAATATAGGAAAAAGGTATTTCATTATATTCACCTTCTATAATTTATCATGTTTTAAATTGAATTAACAAATCTTTTTTATTGTTTATAACATAATATGAGTTAAAAGATAATTAATTATAATATAGCAAACAAATTCATTTTCATTAATTATTTATGATCAAAATTATAAAAGCGTATTTACAATTTTAAATATAATTTTCGTTAATACTTGATTACTTACCGACAACTTTTAAATTGATAAAAATGCTTTTCGGTGGATGTGATGATATTTGACACTCGTACAAACCGGCATCTCGTAACTGAACGTATTTTATTTGCAGTGTCCAATCCTAAAATAAAAAAGTATAATATTATATTAATTTAAATTTATAATGTATTAAATACAATAATTTTAAGTAAATAGACTTTATAGGATAATTTTTCATCGCTTTTTCTCGTGATATTCTGCAAAAAACAAATAATACCTAAAATTATTGTATATGTACAATAGTGTACCGTATTTTTCAATCATTAAAATGTTTGTATTATTATTATGACTTCATTAAATAATAAATACATGAATTTGTGAATTATTTGATTCGTAACTAAATATGGCTATAAATTATTTAATACGTATGTTAGTCAACTATAAACAATTTGATAACTTTATTGTTTTAATAAAACTGTTCGAAACTGTTTAATAGGTAAGTATCAATCATTGACTCAATTCGTTCAAAACACGTTCCCAATTTCATTATTTGTAAATACACATACGTTTAATACATTTTTTTTTCATTATCATAGAAGCTTTTGTATAAATTAATTAAAATGCCTTCCCTAACTCTCATCCTATCTCAACAACTTTGGACAAATGGTTGGTCACATCTGCCGTTCTGTTCAGTCCGGTATACAATCTGTCAAATAGTTGACGAATCGTTGTAGACTATTGTGGTATACGCTGGTATCCTCGTGCCAGCAGCCGCGAGCCGTTAACGTTAAAACAAGATGGTGGATTTTTTTAGTAATTTTGTAGTCACACAAAGTTAAAATATAAATTATAATTTGGAAAACTTTTATTGTACATGGCACTATACATATATACATTGGTAAAAACGTATTAATTAAAAAAAATCAAATCTGAAAATATTGGAATTTTTTACACTGCTATCACAATATTACAACCATCGAAATGAGATTTTAAATTAAAGCGTAAAGAAGAAATATCACAGGCACTCAAAACTTTAAAAAAAATTAAAATAAAATTTTCATCCAAAATTAATGATTTTTACGATTAATTTTGTTGAAATTTTAAATTAAAAAATTAATTTGTTTTATCATCAAATTATAGTATTTCAACTACTTTTTTTTTTTCTATTAAAATAGAAAAATTTACAATCTATATAACATAAATACAATAAGTAATTTGGATGACGTTTTTACCAGTCTGGACGGCTTGAGGGAAGGGAGAGTCCTCAACTACTTATGCACAAAAAACTATTTTTATGAAAAAAAAACTTAAATTCTAAAATTAATTAATTGTGATAGTTAGAAAATTAACTTGGCAAATATATAAAATCTAGATCTATCGTTTTTTTTGACGGCTTATTATAAAAGAATCTTTATGTTGAAAAGAAAACTCTTTGTACGTTTGAAAAGATTCAGTTATAAATTCTTCATAGGCAATACAAGTACCTACGTACCATCTAATAGATTATTATAAAGTACTTACTTACCTAACTAATACTGAAAAAATAGCTACTACAGGTCTTTGTAAACTTATAAAATAATAATAATAATTTTGGACGAGTACTTGATGTAACCGGTCGTCTACAAACTTTTAACGAAACAATACAAGAATAAAGTTTGAAAAAACTTACAATTATCAACTATTTTTATCTTCTCTTAGGGTATGAGTTTTTTTATTTAAAACAAATTTCTCGTCGACCTAAAAGTTTACGCTAATGTTCGGATTTTACGTATAGCTTTCACGAACCGATGGAATAATAATAAGTAATAACAGTGTCTGTAAGTAATTTATACAATTTGTAACGCATCTTCGTTAACTCGATAATCACGCATTTTTACGACAGTGTTATAATAATAATAGTAATAATAATAATAATATCTATCGATTTGTTAATATTAATATGCGTAACGAACCGTTATTGACGTAGGTACGAAATAAAAACAAAGACTCTCATCAAATGTTCACAGACCGGAACGATTACCTTGGTCCCGAACTAAAACAACTAAATCTTGGGTTATTTTCTTTGGGGTTACGTGAGAGTACTTATCTTTCAATGCGCGTACGTTGTGCGATCTGCACAAGTCGGAAGCCAACCACGCAAAATTCTGCAACAGTGTTCAATGTTTTACTTTGAAATAAAAATAGCTAGTATGTATGACATATGGTACCTTTATGAACACGCATGTAATAAACATTAAAGTAGTAGAACAAAAGTATAAAACATTTAAGTTTTTAATTTTCATTATGTCGCACAGAAAAACCCTAGAGTAATTTGAATTACAGTTTGTAAATACCAGAATAGCAAAGTTTTAAGTGTCATCGAGTGATATGAACATTTTTCCTCGAAAATTTAATACGTGTGATCAATACCATAACTAATTGAACCAGCTCCAAGAAAGGAAATAGAACTTAAAGGTCTTATATTTTTTGACAATTAATCTAATACTGGACTTTGCAGGAATGCTTAGAATACGTCAGTATACGTTTTTTTGGTATTATAATATAACATTATTAAATTAATAATTGTATAGTTACCGGCGAAATATACTAGTTATTTTTTTATAAGTTACCATAGATATGTTTTTTTTATTTTTAATAAATGCAATAAATTCAATATCTACCCTTAGAAATCCTTAATGCAAATAAAGAATAAAGTACATTTTAAGAGTACCTGTTTTATTAATTTTGATTAAATTTTTATTTGAAGAGGCCCCGTGATTTGTATCGAAAATAATACCTAGCTTAAAATTTCCCTGAGAAGACATTTGAGATGTAATAGCTGTGAAAGTTTTTTTTTTTTTTATTTTATAATGTTCCAGTTTTAAAGAGTAGATTTTTAGACATAGGGTGTTGATCCAATATCCAAGCTCTTATATCTTAAATATTTACCTCATAACGTATCACGAAACACTATACATCAGAATTTTAAAGAACTACACAGTTATTTTGCTATTAGCCAAACACAATAAGTATGTATAACTATTTTTGAAGGAAAAAAATTATGGGTTTAATAAATTCTGTTTATGAACACGGTGTGTTAACCTTACTGTGGTATAATCTATAAATCTCTCCTCGACGTTACTTTAAGACGAATAAACCAATCTCAACCTTGTCATATTATACCTATTACTTACACAAAATATTATATTTAAAAAAAATAAACATACAAATAAAATAACAATTTTCAAGTTGCGAATAGTTTCACCGCCCAAATGCCAACTTGAAATTGCGAAAATCATATCATACTACATTACCACCTACATACACTATCACGTAATAATGCCACTAGTACTAAATTCATACTTATTAAGTATTAAAATACTTGTTTTATATTTCAAATATGATTAAAGAACTTTAATAAAAAAATATTTAAGCCATATTTAAAATATTTATTTTATCATTTTATACTTCAAAATATAAATATTAAATATATATATTTGAATACTGAATTTTAGGAGAATTTTTTGATGGCTTTATATCCCTCTCACTTTGAAACATATTCATTAATTATTTAAATACCAAGAATCTTGGATATTTTTTTATGTTACCCAAGAAAAGAAAAATGTATCCAAAATTATTTCAAATGTGTCTTAAATGTATATATTTATATTTTATTTAAAATGTAAATACTTATTATAAAATATCATTACAACATTTTTGAAATACATTTCAAAATTATAATAATTGTAATAATTATGTAAATGTAGTCTATACTACCTGGCTATTAATAACGACAAATTATAAACAAATTTATATACAATGTGCTTCTACTTTAAGCACTTGTAATTTGTAATCATAGTAAATAATTAATAATAATTGCATATAATCGACGGAAAAACGTATTATAATTAATAATATATCAGGTAAAAAATTCCACGTTACTCGCGTTACAGTTATGTATAATTTATAATATAATAAGTTTTAAACTGCACAACCAATATAGTTCGGTTTATCGTCGTTAATTATTTTTTAATCTATTCATTAGACTTGTTTAAAATATTGTGTTAATTTGTTTGTATTGTTTATTATTTTTTTTTTTTAGTTAAACGGAGAACGCGACGAACCGAACACTTTTTAATTACTTAATGCTTAAAACTCAAACATCTCTAGAGTGTTTATTTTTTATTTATTTACTTATTTTTAAATGAATGGTTTTTTTTTTTTAAAAAAAAACCGTTTTTTTATAGGTACCAGTACATATCGGCACAATAATTTCTTCGGTGAAAAATAAATAATTGTATAGGGTATTTCGACAAATCAACTTTATCTTCATTATAACCTTTGATAATGCATTTATTCAAATTATAATTTTTAATTATATTTTAAGACCATATTTTCAATTACTTGATTGTTTATAAAATCCAAAAAGAATTACATACTTATTTTTTTTTCAACTTAAAACCATCCTTTTTGATTGTAAATTGTTAAGCAAATACGGATTATTCTAAAAATGTTAATACATTTAAATCAAAATTCGATTAAATATGTTCTGAGTTATTAAACCCCGTGTACTTACTACTTACTAACTAAATACTAAAGATATTTAAAGTCTATGATAGGTTTAAAATGAATGGGGTTTTGAACACTTTAAAAACTAATAATTAATATTAATCTTATTAACATTTTATAATTTGTAAAAATTGTCTGAGTATAAAAATTAATAAGTATTGGACTAAATATTTTATTTATTTTAAATTGTATATGTAAAACCATCATTAAAGACTATAATCCCAACTAAGAACATTCATTTAATAACACAGAAACCATTAGTTTTAATGTCAATTTATGTAAATATTTTCAAAAAATTACTTCCAAATAATCTGCAAAAATAAATTATTTGAAAAATAAAATAGTCCGATTTGTCAAGGATACTTTTCAATAGATTTTAAAAAACCTAAATATTAAAAAAATAATAAATATGGTCTATAAGTTACTAATAAAAATATTAAAAAATTTCTTTTATAATAATTTGAATAAATACACTGTTAAAGGTTAAAATGCAGACGACTATAGGTGAGCACTGAGCATGCTCGATAATATATATCATATATATAAACTACTAGCTTGGTACCTCATATCCTCGTGCAGTGTACCTACAACAAT